TTGGATAGTTTTTTATATTGCTTGTATTGTTTCTATTTATTATCATTTAGCCAATCATAGGATTTTTAACCATGCTGCTAATTTTAGGCTCTATGGCTATATATTAAAAAGATTTTAGCTAATCCAAATATAGTTAATGTTTAAAAGTCACAAACTAATTAGATTTGGACGACAACTGTAGCAAGATGCGGCTGTTATTAGTGCGGAACATCCAATAGCTGATTTATTTTCTTTTTTTAATAACAAATATGTAAATCACATAGCTTAACTAATTTTATTTTGCATATGTATAAAACCTATTATATGACTTAGCTTATTATTAAAAAGAAAACAATTACTAGTATTATATAGTGAACACAAATTATAGAAAACAAGTTTCAAAATAGCCTATTTTTCTTCATAAATGTTTAGCCACCCGTAAAACTTTCTCATTGCATTCTATATTTAGTAATTCTGTTATAGAATTTTCTTAATTACCGAATACTTTATAATGAATTTTAGTAGAGATTGTACTCGGGTAGACATTTTTATTATATGGCTATAATAAATTACCCGGATAATCAGTAATTTAATAATACGTACCCAATAGAGATTTCTTGACGGGTACAATCTCTAAATTTCAGCGCAGTAACTATCCTTCATAAATAAGCCCATGTTTCAGCATAATTATTTCACAAAGATTCATAAAATGGATTTTCAGCACAATAATTTAGCTAAAACTTTAGTTCTTTTTAGCTTCATTTTTTCATTATTATATAACTTTACTGTTTATGGACAATTACAATATCGTAGTATATATTCGAGTAGCAGAAATGATCTGCCTGGTAATAACAACAATTTCGATGTGAGATCAACTTATGACGGTAGTCTCTCAGTTATGCTCAAGGACAATTACAATCAGTATAATTCCATTCATACACTATTACCAAACGGATCTACAATAGATATCGACCTTAATTTTTTGCATAAAAACGTTACAAGAATATTTCCTTTAACTATACAATATTATTTTCTACTTTATGATCAAAATTATAATGGTAGCATGCAAGTCACTGGGATAGTTTTAGACTATAACAAAAAAATTTTAAAAGAGTTTGTATCAAATTTTTTATCATCTGAAACTTTCAATAAATTTCCACTCATATTTTTTTTGAATATATAGTAATCTTTTTGTAGCAAATGGAACTACTAATAAATATAATGGAATTACGTTGAATCTTATCATGGATACACAATTGTCTTCCTTCTTAATTTATAACATAAATAAAGCATTAGTTTATTGGATCACATATAACTTACCGTAAGTAACGCTTTCCATAAAATCAGATCTTGTGTTGAATCAAAATAATCAAAATTATTTATAACTTAATTATAAATGTATTAGGCAAATAAGTGATCCAAATATCTACGCTACAAATTATGGTAATTTTAACTTGGATACCTTTAGCTTTAAAACTATATTTCCAATGGTTGATGGAAATTATGGATTTATTATTGAAGATCAAGAACATGTGACCATTTTAAATGAATCTATGACAAATATATTCATATATTATAAGTATTTAAATACAAAAACTAGTAAAATTTCCGAAAACTCTTTACTTTATCATGCAAGAAATGTTAGTGAAATATCAAACATTTCATGCTCATCAGATTATAGTGAATATGGAAATGTATGCATGATTACTGAACCAACTGAAAAATTTGCCAATTCTACACTATTTATGATATATCAAATAAATTTTTTATCATCTGGTTCCGTAATTAAATTTACCACAATAAAAAATACTACAAATAATAACGATTTATATTTTGATATTCATCCTTCATTTTTTGGCGGATCCATTGTAACTAGTTGGATATTGACGACGCCTCAAACACTCATAAAAGTCCCCACCGTAATACCGATAAGTCAAACAAGTAATTATGCAGATATGACTGGAAGTATTATTATGCTTAATGGCACTGAGATAACATGGAGCTTAAATCAATTGAATCAATTAAATCAGAGCAAATCAGCCTTTAAGAGTGCAGTGTTTGATTTAATGAAAAATAATACTTATATATTGTACGTAAAGTATTTTGATAATGAATGGGATATCTTTAGTATAGATTTGCCTAAGTCTAGAAATGATAGTAAGTGCATAATAATCAATTTATTTTTCTTCTAATTTTATATTTATTATCATCAAATTTATTTCATTAGGGGGCTATGATAATCCGAATATTATTTCAACATATCCCAAAATCAACGATAATACTATTATACCAGAAAGTACCAATAATATCAACATAATTTTTTCAAGCAATATTTCTATGTCTTTGAATAATATTACTATCTATCAACTTGATACGAACACTGATCAATTAAATTTCAGAAAGTTTTATTCTGGGAGTTCAGATTGTTATATTTCATTTAATAGAAATCTTTCTTGTAGTGTCACTTCAAGTATTTTTAACCAATGGAATACTACATACGTAATTGTGATGGATAATAATTTTGTTATGTTTTCCACAACAAATGAGCCTATGTATGGTATTGAACCCTATCGATGGAATTTTACAACAATCCCATGTGATTCGAGTGAGTATCTTTATTCATTCTATTGCATGCAAGTAATAATTTATTATTGACTAAAAATATTTTTGCGTCTTGTAGAAAGTAACAAAGAATTATATTCAGGTAATATTATTTACTATAATGCAAATTTGAATTTATTTAAATATAAACTGATTAATAATTTCTAAAGATACGGCTATAGGTACTATACGATTAACTCTTAAAGATGGTATAAAAAATGATTCACTATCAGATATTTTTGGCAATGTGACAAGAGAACTTGTAGAAAGTATTCCTATAAATCCTCCAGATAGACTACAGTATACAAATCTATATCTATATCAATATGATTCATCAACATCACTTCCTCAATATACAATACAATTAAAAATTCTACCAACTCAAGATCCTTGTCAAGCTAGCACTTCTCAAATCATCAACAATTTAAATGAATTAATAAATGATACGGATTCGCTAATATATAAAAATAATTATACAAAATATTTGAACTCATCGTATGGATTTAAAGTGAACGGTGAGATATTTTAAATTTGTATTTCAACATCAAAAAAAAAAAAATCCTAACTTTTTTTTTACATATTTTAGTAAATTTTTGGGATGATATTAAATACAAATTACTTGGACTATTAATTGGATCTATAATTCTAGGTCTTATTATGTTATTGGCCCGTCACAAATACCCGGAGGTAAATATTACGCATAATAGTTATTATTTAAAATGGAAAGATCCAGCATGTAGGGGATTTGTCAGCACACGTGATAATTAATGCATTTCTTATTGTTCGTTAAAATTTACGACAAAATTTAAGATCATTATGAAAGAATTGCCACTATGTGGTAAAATTTCACAAGGAAAGCTTTTTGTTAGAGTGTAAAAGTCATGTTGTTATGTAAATTTTTGAGTTAAACCAATTTTAAAACCGGATAATCATTGATCAATTATCACGTGTGCGGATAAGTTCTAAATTCTGATACAATCTTTAAAAAGAGATGCTTGATTCAATATTAATTTTAGCAAACTCTATCCCAATATAATTTTCATTTTGCAATGAAATTAAATTCTTTTTTTAAATTTTAGCTTGTAATTTAAATTCTAATTATTCATAATTTTCTGGACTTTTTGTATATATAGGGACAAAACTTTATGATATTTAGCGCAGCAATTATCTTGCTTGACTTAGTTATGGATATTTTGTTTATTGTAAAAAATGGAAAAGAAGTTTCGCAACTGGATCTTTATAGTCCCAGGTTAGTTATAAAATATAAAGTTAACACAGTCTCGATATAAATTCAACTAATCATATGAATATTAGCAAATAAAATCTCGAAAATCTTTATGGTTAAGATTTCTGGATTTATTGGCAATATTCATATAATGTTATCAAAATTTAAGCTAATTTATTATAACATAATTATAATTTTAAATCATTTATGCTATAATAAGAGTAGAATTTTTATCGAGACTAAAGTGTAACATTATTCAATATTGAAAAAATACCAATTATAAATTTTAACTTTTTTATTCACATTTATAAAAAGCATTGTGATACTGGTTTTTTTCAATAGCAATTAATTTGACTTCGGCAATTATATTTATAATTTATGAATTAAAGACGAACGAGCCATTCATTCAATGGTTTACTAAATATAAAAACATTATTTCAATTTTCACTGTGTGTTCAGGAGCAAATGTATCTTTACTGGAATTTTTAACTTCAAATTTTGCTGGATTTTTAATGTTTAATGCTCCATTTTCCGATTCTGTTAAACGTTGGATATATTGGGTGACTATAATTGATACTTTTATCGAAAATATTCCACAACTAATTATTCAGGTTTGTTTGCATTACATATATATAATATTAAATAATTGAAATCTTTAAATTTAAATTTATTTTTATTTTTTAGGTTTTATATTTCCGTTACACCACCGAATATACGGCTATTCCATTTTTAACTTTATTAACTAGTTTCATTGTCTTGTTACATGACATTATATTGAAATTGTTTAAATTTTTTGGTGACCGGCATAAATTTTCACATAAAAATTACACTAATGCTGATACCTAGAAAATGGAGAAAATAATGAGAAAATAGTAGAGAAAGTTCGAAAAGATTCGGGACACTAAATAATTTTTAATTATGATAAAATTTTTATAAATAAAGGTTATATTTTATACGCGTAATATATATAAATTTAACATATACTACATGTATATGACATTAAATGTATTTGTTAATGATATCAAACGAATCTATTTAATGTTTTATGTTGTATCTTTAATATAATGTAATGAAGACTTTGACTATTGACAAAACCCTTGACTGTTAGAAATACAATTGATAACCAATCAAAAATATCAAAACGATGAACTCTGGATTAGATAATATAAATTTTTAGGTACGACCAACCAAAAAGGTAAAGCATCGTTAATATAAGGATTATGACCAAACGAAAATATTTAAGCGTACAACCCTAATTAAACTAGGTGATAAGTTAGCTAAAAATTACTTAGTAGTAAAATTTTTTAGTTGTTATTGGAGCTGGGCAAAAATGTGCATTTTTGCTAGATAAAATTCAATCTAATTATTCTATTATTTATGTTCTGCGTCATTTCACAATTTAAGTCGATTCTAAATTGACCTAAGTCGTTTTTAAAATTTGAAATGACAAAGTTATTTCTCAATAGATGAAAACATAAATTTATACGACCAGGTTTTAAAAATTATACGACCAACAATAAAATATCAATTATAACCAAGCATTCTTTTGTTTAAATAAATAAGCTATAAAAAATTTACATAAAATTTTACACATAAAATTAAAAAAATGTAAAATTTGCGTAAATTACTGCTATATTAAAAAATGAAATGCTTCATAAAACTTAAATAAAAAAAAAGCATAATTAAAAATTACACGATTTTGCATTCACCACGTAGAACACATCCACATCATGTACGTAATAAGTTACTTTTTCGGTAAAAATCTTTTTTGGAATGAAACAATACCTTATAGTTATCAAAAGAAAAGAACTATATTATAAATGAAACTAAAAACCAAAAAAAAAAAACCTTTCTCCAGGTTTTGTCTTTAATAATTACAAAAATTTTATCCGTTCAAAAAAGTAGAACTGTATATTGACATGTAATAATTACAAAATTATCTGTCATACAAAATGAATTATCGGATCGGAAAATTTAATTCAAGTGCCACTACGTAACTGATTTTTGGGCGATGCTAGGTTCGTCCTTCAGCTAAGCTATAATGAGTTTTTGTATGATAACTAGTGGACAAAACATAGTAAAAAGTGAGATATATTTACTATATAAATTTTGTCTTTTTTAGAATCTGGAGTTTCCCAAAGAGAAACTTTTTTCTTTACTATGTAAACATCCTTT